ATTTAATTTGTTCGGGCTGCAGGTGTGCTTGCAAAGGGCCACATGCAGCCCACAGGCCGCCAGTTTGACATACCTGCCACAGATAGACTGAAAAAACTAATTAGACACACTTCCAAGAGACAAATGAAAACTTCTTATTTCTTAGCACTGAACTGATGGAAAATTCTGGTTGTCATCCACTTCTGGATTTTGGTCTTCTTCTTCTTTCGTTCACTTGAAATAGATTATCTATATCTGCAATGTTGGATTCTGGTCTTGTTTCAGAACCTGAGTTTTGTGTGCAAATCCATTTTACAGATCTGGCTAATTTGTATGCAGACTGCTGCTTCCTCAACTCTCAGGCAGATGACACTCCAACTTTGAAGACCTCTAATTATTTGCCCTTTATGCCATGCTTGTTAAAGGGGGGCAGTGGGTCTATCCTCCCAGCCTTCCCCCCCCCCTCCAGTGGGACTCTGGAACCCACACAGGGAAGACATAAACAATAAATTGGGTAGGGAAATATGACTAGTACAGAAAGATTGGGCATGGCATGAAAAATCAACTAAAGAACTTAGTGGCAACTGGCAGACTCATTGACAAAGTAGATGCTAAAATGGCTTGGATACAGTAAGACAAAGACTACAACTGTACAACCCTACAGAAGTGATTGACTAAAACATGACATCTTAGTCACTCATGTATAACCAGAATTGTATATCTCCATCCGTCAACATGTAAGGACAATATTATATCACTACCCATTCATACAGAAGCACAACAATACATTCCACCTACTCAAACAAGCACACAACATTACATTTCCACCCGCTCACATATGAATAAATCCACTTGGACCTAGAACAGAAGCAAAAAACATTAATCTGAAACGTAAAACATCTAAAAAGCCACTGGATCTGCAAAACAATAACTCCACCAATTAGAGATGAAGCAATAAGACAAGCACAGAAGAATCAGAGAGAAAACAAGCAAAAACTACCTGAAATATGAAGCTGCGACATATCTGGGGGAGGTGGAAATCTGTCATCACGATGGTCACTTGTAGGCTGAGGTTGAACGGCTACTGCTTGCTTTACACCTCCTACTGCTTCAATTAGCTGTGGGAATAGAGCACCATCATGTGTTTTGTCTGCAAAAAGACTAAATTCTAACGGCAAATGTTTCACGTCAAAATTGCTTCATTCATGGGACAGCAAAAACCACATAAAATACCTGTCGCTCTAATATTACAAAATAGGCAGACCCCAGTCCAGCTACAGCCAACAGTTTGCACACAGATTAAATGCATACGGCAGCCACTAGAGTTGCCAACACCCACAGTCTGGCACTAGAGCTGTACTTCATCATCGATGGAAGCAGTAGTCATGATGAACCAAGCAGGTGCTATACTGCATTAGTTATACTCCCAGTTGTGCAGCAGTCAGCCACTCGTGATTTTCTGAATAAGTATTTCACAACACAAACTGCCTCGGACACAGGTGAAATGTATTCAAAATTTTCTTCTTCTTCTTCCTGTTCACCAGACGTAAACTCCGGCAGAAAGTTCTGGTTGTTCATCCATTTCTGGATTTTAGTCTTGTTCCAGAACTTGAGTTTTGCGTGCACATCCATTTTACAGATCTTATTTATTTGTATGCAGACTACTGGTTCCTTGCCGCTTAGGAGGATGAACTCTCCCTACAAATGAAACCCCTAATTAGTTGAGTCTTATGAAATGCTTTTAAGGGAGACAGTGGGTACATTCGTTTCGTTTCCAATAACAGGGCCTCAGAACCCCCACAGCGAGAGTTCCAATTTAAAATCCACATCTTCATGTTGACTTAGGGGGCTGAGTGGTCTTGAGGCATGGCGTCCACCTCACGTGCTGTAGCTCCCAGGTTCAGGCCCCGGTGAAGGCTGGGATTTTTTCAAGTGGACTTCTGGTAATTTCCCCTGGTTTCTGGGTAGTAAGATCAGACACCCGTGTGTATTGTTGCGCATGTAAAAAAAAAAATCCATTGGCAGTTGGAAATTGAAAACATTAGCCTAATGGCACTGCCCAGGCAAAATTTGGAGTTAAAAATCTACCCAAAGTATTTCAAGATCCTCGCTGGAGCAACGGAGTTCTTGCACTGCACTGAGATTCTTCAGACTCAGGCTTGAGTTAGAAGTAGAATGGAGCACTTATGGGTTACTACCTTTGTGCCATTATGTTGATCCGTTGTATTAATCAAACCAAGACTTCGGACATCTGCTTGTCTTTTCCCATAACCTAATGTTCCTGTACCAAAGCTGAAAGCAGAGCTTCCAATCTGGCATTAAAAATTACAAGAAAACATGGTGCTGTTCACAGTAACCATGATGTTTAAATTAGGTTACTCATTGCCCACCGTTTCATTCATAAATCATTGGACTGCTCTGGGGCATAGGGGTGTGAGCTGATTCTAGATTATTTCAGGGACACCACCGACGATGTGCGATGTTGCAGGTGAAGAGGGTGGGGGTAAATTGTTGCAGCCAGCCAGGCAACCTTTCAATATGTCAAGCCGCAGTTCGCTTGATACAGACAGATGTCCCGCCGAATATACTCGGACACCTCTGTGACCCAGAAGAGTCCAAGAAGTTATGAATGAAAGGTCAAAAATACAAACATCATTACAACTGTTAAAAGCAGACACTTACAGACTGATTATTCTGTCTCCAAGTAGCAGCAGCTGCAATATCTGCTGGGTTCATGGCAACAATCTTTGCACTTTGAACTCCTGGTACAATGGCTGTTGTTAATCAGAAACAACGAAAATGTAAAATGGTTAAAACAAAACTACGTAAGACATATCCAATTAATAAATAAGCTTACCGCATTATTTTAGACCTCAGAGATTTTGGTTTTGTAGAATACTTAAAATTCCATGGACAACCAAAATGTGTGACCCAGATGTTTTGACAGAGATGAGGACCCAAAAGCAACTTATCAACATCAGAAGGAAACAGCCATAATTTTTTTGACCATGTTACGAGAAGAGGGAAACTAGAACATATTGTGACAACTGGAAGGATTTGTGGAAAGAGAGGTAGAGGAAGATTCTTGACAACCTTTTGTCACAGCATGGAAGGGTATCAGCACATGAAGTGATGATACATATTGTTGGAGACTGCAGGCTGTGCTGATGCATGATCACCCACATCACCTGGCAAGGCACTTGAAGGCTATGATATGTGTTTTCTCCACAAATATAATGTATATCTTTTTTCTCTCAATATAACTTATCCAGCTGTATCACAGAGATGCAGACATGTTAAACAATATGGGTGATGTACCAGGGCTCAGACTGGTCAAGACCTGACTACACTTCTTAGCAATCATCCAAAAAACAGTTTCCAACAGGGTTAAGGCCTGGCCAGCTGAGAGAGAATCTACATTTCCTTGGATGTTAGAGTTCATCTGTCTGAGAGGCATCCTGACTGGACAGTATGCTAGAGGTTTTTAATGGTCCCTCACAGTTTTTTTTTTGAAGATGTGTACAGCTATGCCTATTTATTTATTTTAATAACATTTTTTTTCTTACAGTGGTATGAGAATGACACAGTGGAACAGACAGGGGTCTCATCAAGTGGTATTCCAAACAAAGCAGGGTGTCCTGCCTTATAATCAAGAGGGGGTGGGGAGGTCTTGTCATACACTCAAACGTGCGCCACCTGAAGAAAAGGTTGGAGACCACTGATCTAGAGGTTTAGATGCGTCTCTCCCCATGTAGGTTCTGTGGCCCCATTGAAGGGGAAAACGAGAACAGACCCACTACTTCCCCATCAAGCATGTCATAAGAGTAAACTAACTGGGGGCTTCTTTCGAAGTTGGAGTGTATCTGTCAGAGAGGCAATGAACCAACAATTTACATACAAATAAGCCAGATCTATAAACAGATGTGCATGCAAAACTCAGATTCTGGAACTAAAGTTCAGAAGAGGACAAACAACCAGAACTTTCTGCTGGAGTTAACAGTGAACGCAAAGAAGAAGATAGGTCTTGACCAGTACTGGACCTGGTCACAGAACACAACCAAGTGCATCTAATAAAGTGAATATAAGAAACCCTGTCATACTGAGAAGCCACTAGACTGGAAACTTCTGGTTGGACACTTCTGGCTGGGTCTCAGTAGCTGCAAAGTTCACTTTACAGACTTGCTTTTGTGACTTTGTTCATGAGAAGCAAAGCAAACACGTATGGTATTGTTAGGGCCTGCACAAACTGGGAGAGTCACCATGTAATTTTGTGGTAATTTCATGGTCAAGTAGAGGTAGGTCAGTTTTTTGCTGCTATAATCATGTTTACTGATCATTCCTAAAATTCTATATCAAAATTAATATTGTTTTGATCCACAAAATTGACTGTCAGGATTTTCTTTGTGTAAAATGTTTTTTGTTACCGATTTTTTCAAGAATGACTTAAATATGGATAACTGCTTTTTTTTTTTTTTTTAAGGGCAAAAGGAGTTACAAGTGAATGTATGGTGATAATAAGGGAATGTGTGGTGATAACAAGGAAATGTGTGGTGATAACAAGTGAATGTATGGTGATAATAAGGGAATGTGTGGTGATAACAAGGGAATGTGTGGTGATAACAAGTGGATGTGTGGTGATAATAAGGGAATGTGTGGTGATAACAAGGGAATGTGTGGTGATAACAAGGGAATGTGTGGTGATAACAAGGGAATGTGTGGTGATAACAAGTGGATGTGTGGTGATAATAAGGGAATGTGTGGTGATAATAAGGATGTGTGGTGATAATAAGGGAATGTGTGGTGATAATAAGGGAATGTGTGGTGATAACAAGGGAATGTGTGTGATAACAAGTGGATGTGTGGTGAACTGTTTAGTACCGAATGATTTTAAAAGACTTTAACCTCTAAACAGGTCACCTCTAAATCTTAAAACCATTTCTGGGGGTTTTTTAGAAGATGAGAATTAAAGTGAAGATAAACATAAACATAAACAGTCCTACAGAACTATCTTAGTTGCTTACTTGCAGAAAGAATCACAGAAGCCTTGCTGACACGATTCACAAAGACAGGATCATCACTGTTCTGCACCTCCATGTCTGCCATCTGAAGGACTCGATCAGCTCGACGGGCAATGTTTGCGGCACCAGCAACAATCTTGGGTGGGTCCTCAGCCCTGATTCCTTCTTCTACTTTCTCTGTGTCTCTCAAGATGCCTTGTTCTACAATGAGAATGGGAAATTAATAAACTGAACTGTAACTAAGAAGCTTAATGAAAGGGGGAGAAGGGGGAAAACTTCAATAACAAGAACAACAAAAACAACAACAATAACATCAGCAACAGCAGCAACAATACACAGACATGCACATGCACGCCACCCATGCACACACATGCACATGAACAAGAGATTTCAGCTCCAGCCTTTATCAACAAATACCTCGACAACAAGGAGGCAAAGGAGAATGATATGTTTTTTGTACCATAAATAACACGTAAAGTGAGATGAAGTTTACTTCCATTTAACTTGGATGTTTCAATCTGCCCTTTAAGACAATTCCATCCTCATGTGGAATGAATTTTTCGGGTTTTTTTTTTTTTAACCACATCCTGGTTGTTGCCTGGAGCCCTAATATCCCCTAATGGTTAAACAGGGTTTCAGGGACCTCTCCACGGGTGATCCTCATCCGAATGGTGGCTCTTTTGTGTCACCGGGTGTTTATCGCTCAGTGTGATTTCCTGGTGGGTTAAAAAGTTGGTCAGTCTGCCCTTTATTCCTGACAGAGCACAGTCAGTGATTCAAAGTAAAGGACCTTTTTCATGGCAATGAAGCACCCGGGATATGGTGTCAGATGCAAACTTGTATTGACAAATCCCTGCTCAGTAGGTGTAGAAGGTTACAAGCTAACATATCATGTAAATTTGTGCGCTGTAAATGCTAACAAAAATTGGTCATAAATCATTGGGGATTTCCTAAAAATACTTTTTTTTTTTAATTAACCTACATTTTAAAAATCTTTTTTTAAATTATACAAAGATGAGCACTAATAACAGCAGGAGAGCAACTTTTTAAAATTCTTTTTTAAAATATATCAAGACAAAAAAGGGATTAATCAATAAACATGAACAAAGTGAAGCGTTAAATGGAATACATTCCCCAGGGTGATTTTTTTTTAAATGACTGATGCGGTAAACATTTGTAACAGCTTGGTTTTAAAAAACCATTAATTAATATCAAAAGGAAACCCTTCTAAATTATATTGTCAGTTACTATATTCATATCCTGGCCTATTAAACACTGCACAGGTGCACAAAGAATGAATGGAATTTTACTACAATTATCGAGACTAGGTCACTGCAGAGAAATCAGTATACTGGCATTTAGGGGACCATGTCACAACCAAAAGTGACTAGATTTTGGGGTGACAGGTTTAAAACTGTGATATAGATAACCTTCACAAATTCAAATATGCATTTCAACCAAAAAATGGATTCATTTTGTGCTTCAGTATATGTCGATTTAACTTTGTAGTTATGCACCTGATGAGATACATCGAAATATGCCAATCAATAAATTGTGCAATATATTGTTTTTGTCCGCATTATTTCAATAAAGATAACCATTCAACTGGTTGTGTCCTGTTAGCAATCTAAAAAAAGGAAGAAATGAGCTTTCCTATAAAGCTGATGACTAGTGTCATTTGTCATGCAGTCACTGTGGTCCTGTGTTAATTTTGCTCAGTAAAGACACTTCTATAAAACCAGAAGAGATCGAGTGAGAAACGATGTGATTACAAGAACTATTGGAACCATACCCATTGTTAAATTTATTGAGAAGCAAAGAATGAAATGGTTTGGTCACCTAATGAGAATGGAACCAACGATGCCAGCATCAAGAGCATACAACATGAAAATCGAAACACCAAGAGGCAGGGGAAGACCAAGAAGAAGATGGATTGAAGGAGTCACGGACAACTTGAGACTTCATAACATCACGGCATATGAAGCGACTGAGCGCGCCCTGGCTCGGTTGCCGATCATCTGATAGACTGCGACGCCTAGCGGCACAAGCAGATTTTGACAAAAGAAGAAGATAGACACTTTTGCTGTTTCTTCCTTCTTTTTTTTTTATCCTTCTTCTTCTGCATTCTCCCTTAAAAGGGCATTGGCACATTGTGTCGTGGTTTACAGGTAGGCTGCAAAATCTGCACCTCTCAGCCCCTCACTCCAAATTTCAGCAAATCCTTAATTATCACTTTCTTACAACACGCTTATTAGGAAGTAGTGGGCCTATTCCGTTTTCCCCCATAATGTGGCCCCGGAACGCACACAGGGATTTTGCTGCTTTTGTTGCTGCAAATTCTTCTCTTCTTTACGACCACCGGCTGTAAACTCCAGTGGAAAGTTCTGGTTGTTCATCCACCTCTGGATTTGAATCCAGTTCCAGAACTTAAGTTTACTGCGTGCACCTCTGTTTTACAGATTGGACTTATTTTTTTGCAGGTTGTTGGTTCCCTGCCTCTCAGACAGATGCATCCTTCACTGATCTTCATTTGTCTGGAGCATATGTTAAATTGTTATACTTCATGTTATACTGTGTTAATTTACTAAAATAGGATTACTGTCTAGTCTTGGAGCTTTACAAGCAGGGAGGAAGTAAGGCCAAGTTGCACCTAGGAATGTTTATGTATTCTGTAGTGCCGTAATTTAAGTAGCCTGACCCTTCAAGTAGGCTGGATGTTCATTAGATATGCGGGATTCTGCCTAGACCATTGCGAGCCAACATCTTAACACTGAAACTACTTTAGAGTGCCTTTTGGTTCATTAGGGAAAACCTAACAAAGGCATGTGACACCAGCATTATGTGACAATCTCACATCAGCATTCATTTTAGAGTTTCTTATGGAAGTCCTCACTTCTTCAATCCCTTTACTTCCCATAAAGACTCGCAGACTGCAAAAGTTTAGAAAACAAGAACAGTAAAAATTACAAACTGGAGATTTTACCTTGTGCGCGAATAAGTGCCTCAGAGTCTAAAGCTTCATCCACCAAGGATCGAACCTTATCCATGTTTTCTGACCACTGCTTCTTTAACAGATGATTAAAATGCTCAACTGCAGCTTGATTATTGGGATTCAAAAATACAATGCGGGCAGCGTAGATGACCTGTGGTGTCAAATCCCTCAGCTAGGCAAAAAGAAAAACAAATGGATGAAGCTGTGACAAACAATGTAAAGCAGAGCTATTTAACTAGTGGCCTGCAAGCAGAATCAGGTTTACAGAGGTCTCGTAAGTGAGCCCTGGATCACTGCCAACTGTATTAATGATTTTGCTATGTTTGGGTTCAGGCCTCTGGCTCATCACTATCTCCATTTTCAACATTTTAGCACCTCAGTAAACTTTGTTGAACAGCCCTGATGTAAAGTATGACAGGATTACCAGTAAAAGTAAAAAGTAAAAGTAAAGTTCCCTTTTCACGCCTTTAGGCTCATCGGGCATATGGGCAGAGCGTCCCATATTTTTACAGACCATCAGCACTCTGTGGGTAATGTGGTCAGCATTACGCCGGCTGTCTTTACTTTCCCAGGACAGCCCATCCTGGTACCCATTTTAGGCTGGGTCGACTGCGACGTCCCATACCACGATAAAAATCCACGCAGCCTACAGTGGGTTTTGATCGCGGTATGCTGGCTTACGAGTCGGACTCGCAACGCCTTAGCCACGGACGCCGCTAGGATTACCAGTGTGGCATATATATAGAGAGAACTAAAAAAAATTCTAGTCAATCAAAAATACATGGACAGAACCAAATTCTAGTCAATCCAAAATATATGGACAGAACCAAACAAATTCAAGTAAATCAAGCGGAATGAGTTTCAACTGTTCAAGTATAAAATATTTCCTCTGGAATCTTTAGCTGTTGGTCGCCAGTCGAGGTTCCAGCTTCACTCCAGACAGGTCACCCTATAACTATTCACAGAAAATGTCCTTCAGAGTCCTGTTTGAAAAGCTTGCGAAATCATATCATTCCCAGCAACATTTTGAAGCTTGCACATACAAAGTAAATGCAGCCGTCAGATGTGCCAACATTAACAGTCTCCCGCCAGTATTTTAGCTCATTTTTTGATGGAAGCAGACAATCCCGAAAACCGGCGCTTGTACACATAATACTGCATAAATACTTGCCATTCCAAATGTAATCAGCTGCCTGTCAGTTTTACTGGGGTTCAAAAAACAAAACAGACACAGACATATCAGAGGAAGACAAGAACATTTCACATGAAACACACAGCTGACATTGTCGCACTGAGCATTCAACTCAGTGAGTGTGATAGAACCTTCCTCTGGAAATTACAAGACATAAGAATTACAAGAAGGTCTAAACATTGAAGACAACACAAAGCAGAGAATTAGAGACATACATAAAAAATATTGGGAAGATATGAAAAGAACTGTGAGCGATGCCAAATAGGAGCAGAGCTAGTCTATACTCTAGTGTGAGACAAAAGGAAGAGTAGCAGAAAAGTTGGGAGGAGGATGAAGAGGAGAAAAAGAAGGAGGAGAAGAAACAACTTATAGTAACACTTCATAAGCAAGCTATTAATATATAAGCTAACACTGTTTGGCACTGACCTATAAGGTTTGAGGTTTGAACTACATATCAACATCATGGCATAAGGGCAGTAACCCATAAGCTTTCACGTGGCTAGAATCACAGGACTGTTCCAGCGTGTGTGTGCTGAGTGATTCTTTGAGCATCATCCGGCGGGTCGAGGCAGGCTGGTTACGCAGACAGTGGTTTGAGTCGTTGCAAAACACTCCTGTGTGTGCAGTTACCTTCATATTCGTCCTAGGGTACGCAGGTGTTACTGGTAATGAAAGACTAGATAGACTGGTAGATGCGGCAATAAATGAAGATGGCCTGCCCATGAATCATGAGGATATTGTCATTGCCCTTAGAGAGATAGGACGTTCTAACAATTTTGGAAGCAACGTGTCCACATTACGCTAAGAATACGAGAACTGGGAGTTAAGATATGCACAGCCAAGCATGAGAAGCACACCGGACACATATGAAGTCTTGTTAACAAACATAGGACTGGTACTATTAACCGTGCGATGATGAATATGTTGAGAGGGGAATCTGAGCGCCTATAGATGTGTCCAGAGTGCAGCGAAGATAATCTAACTCATAACTCATAACCTATAAGTGATCCGCTCTACCTCTAACTCAGGTTTGAGTCCAAAGCAGCTCAGTGCAGTGCACGGGCTCCATAGCACCCTGAAATATTTTGGGTAGATTTTTTAACTCAAAATTTTGCCAAGGCAGCGCCGTTAGGCTACTCTTTTCGATTTCCAACTGTTAGGGGATTTTTTTTAATGTACGCAACAATACACACGGGTGTCTGATCTCACTACCCAGAGACTAAAGAAATTTACTAGAAGTCAACTTTAAAAAATCCTAGCCTTTACCATGGCCTGAACCCGGGACCTTTGGCACTCGAGGTGGACACCATGCCTCGAGACCACGCAGCCCCCTGCACTGACCTAAAAATACATAATCAGATTTAAAATGTATGGAGATCACAGAAACAGAATCCAGACGGCATTCTGACAACATTAAACACAGGCAAATACCAAGTCAAGACCAGAATCCAGGCCATGTGAATAATTACATTTCTTTGCCTAGTAAATTAATTTTTTTTTAAAGTAAAAAATAAATAAAGGACCCTTTTCCATGCCTTTAGTCGTATAAAACATATAGGGCTAGACCTATATTTTTATAGACCAGTCGGCACAAGATGGGTGATGTGGTCAGCATCACGCCGACCACCTTTACTTTCCCGGGACTGCACCGGGTACCCATTCAATGCTGGGTCAACCTGGGAGCAAAGGTCATTTTTTGAAAAAAGTCCGGCTTGACTAGAAAATTACTGTCATAAAATGCGTCAATTCCTTTGTAGAATGTTACCTGGCTGGAATTTTTAAATATGGCCTCCACAGTCTGTTTGTCCCGACAGCCACCAGCAGTTGCCACTGAGTTAGCAGTATTGGCCAGTCGAAGTGACTGCTCCTGAAACTGACGAACTCTGTCTTCAAAATTGTCATCTCGACCAGGTGTTCCTGATAGACAGAACATAACAATATGAAACAATTCTGACAAAAATAAAGTGCAAGGAACAACAGTTCTAGAGTTTAGAGCACATAATAACATATTAACATGTTGTGAATGTGAGAAATTATGTAACAGCACAAATTTAAAAACTGTAAACATAAGCATATAGCAACAGTTCAGAAGTTTCAATGAGGTGCCATAGACACAAAAAATGGTTGGCTGCAATTGATCTCCAGCACACTCTGTCTCTTTTCTTAGGTGTACACTCTCTCAGACAGCTGTCTGCCCATCTCTTGATATTGTCTTCCCACTTCTATTGTTGTCTACCACTTGCTCTCTTGCCTTTGTCCTTTCCCTCCAGTATGGTTTTGAAAAGAGTGTTGTCTTTCAAAGTGGCCAAAATATTTTAACGATTTTTCTTCCAATAATTCTCTTTTCATCCAGTCTTTTTAGAACCTCTGTATTTGACTTGGCTGTTTTTGTTACCAGGTAATACAACATATTTTTCTGCATATCTACATTTCCAGAGACTCAATTTGATTTTCTAGTTGCTTGTTTACTGTCTCGCTCTCTTCTCTATGTGTATTCCGGCTTTCCAAAGTTTCCAAATTTTCGCTCCATACAGTTGGGTTGAATTTACATAACAGAAATTTAGAAAATGCTCAATAGAGCAACAGTCCTAGAATTTAGATAATACAGGACAAAGCATATACAGTCCATGAGTTTATATAATAAAGAGTATGGCAATAGTATGATACAACAATAATCATAAGGATCAGAACATTTGTAACATATAAGAGTGCAGGAGTTTAGATTGATTGACTTTCTACCCCACTAGGACATCACACAAGTGATAAACACCCGATGACACAAAGTGCCACCATGTGGATGAGATCACCGTGGAGAGGTCCCAGAAACCGCGTTCAGACAATTGGCCATATTTATGGCCTGCCTATATTGCGGCCCCTGGCAAAAGCTAGAGTGGGGCTTCAAATAACAAAAAATTACGTCCTAAAAAGGACGTAAGGATAAAAATAATTAGGAGTTTAGAACACATTCTTTCCTGACCTGACCTTTAACGTAGACAGTTATTTACACATCACCACTGCTGAATTTGTGTGTGTTTATTTGGCATTTACAAATCTTCCTCCTCCTCTTCCTTCTTTTCTGCCTTTTATTTCCTTAATGGAGCAGAGGCCCTCAACTAACATTATGAGTTATGAGTCGGATTATCTTCACATCTCTCCATAGGTGCTCAGATTCCATCTTCAACATATTCATCAGCATCGTAATAGCGCCAGACCTATGCTGGTTGACAGGACTTTGTATATGTCCGGTGTGCTTCTCATGCTTGGCTGTGACGATCTTAACTCCCAATTTTCGTATTCTTAGCACTGATGTGGACACACTGTTTCCAAAATCCTGCCGCCTGGAAGGTTGAGCTAAGAGACATTATAACCAGCTTCTTATGGGAACAATCAGGAGAGGTACCTTGGAGTGGTGCATCGGAGGACACAGCATGCATGGGAAGGACCAATGTGTAGTGACGACGGTTGTGAAAACAAAAGGTTTCAGTCACTAATTCTCTTCTCTATGTGCATTCTGGCTTTCCAAAATTCATAAGCCTTCTGTGTTCTAGTGCAAGAACACTCAGTTTTATTACCATATGGTTTCTTCAGTGTATTGCCTATCCAATGCCAGCTTTTTCTCCTCTCCTCTAGATTTGCCAGAATTTAGTTCTTTCATTCATCATCATCACCATCATCAATTTCCACTTCAGTCATTAAGTGTTTTGGGAAGGAACAGTTTGCGATCCATTGCTTGATGGACAACAATGGCTACTGTCATTCCATGTTGATGTACAAGCCCTTTAATGTCATCAATCCATTTTCTCCTAGGGCGGCCTCTTGCTTTCACTTCAGATCTTTTCATGTACAGCCTCTGCATTAGTAGTTGTTTCGGCTGCATTTTTACTAAGTAACCAAACCACCTGATCTTCTGTTTCTCAATGAATTTGCTGCACGGTGTTGTTCCTACAGTCTGTCTGACAATATAATTTCTAACTTTGTCTCATTTCACAGGTGTTAGTTAATTTTATGTAGGTTAGCCTATGATAACAAACTACTGGATGTAAATTTGCCTGTTGGGGTTGGTTCTGCAACGCCCTGTAAAGGATAAGCAACTAACTTAGCCTATGATAACATTCAAGTCTGGCACAGGTAGCACAGTGCTGATATGAATATGCTATATATAATTTGTTTCTTGGCACTCATACTTATGTTTGGATGTCTTGATAAGGGAGTCAGTTGGTGTTTAAGTGCACTAGATCATTGGCATCTTGCTTCTATTTCCCGATCTATTCTTCTGTCCTCCGAGAATATACTTCCTAGATATCTAAATTCTTTAACTTGCTTCAGACAAGTACCATTCTTCTTCTTCTTCTGCGTTCGACATCAGTCATGCTAGACATTGAGTCCCATCTGAGTCACAAATAGGCTTGTGCGTTTGAGGTCGCCACCGGTCTCCCATAGCTTCTCTTTCAATGTGGCTCCCTTGGGCCAGATCCACAGTCTTTGCTGGGAGAGGTTAGGGCAGTACTGTAGTATGTGCCCAGGGGTCTGTTTCTGCTCCACAATCACAGGCAGCAGATTCTTTTATGCCAATTCTGTACAGGTGTGCTCGAAGACCACAATGTCCAGTCCGAAGTCTAAAAATTGATGTTTGTTCTTTCCTGTTGAGTTTGTTTATGCTGTCACTCTCTGGTCTGTAATCTCCATTCTGCCTTCTCCTCTCCCGCTTGAAAGACTGCTTTAGGGCTGTTTTGGTTTCCTTGTAGCTGTGTAGTGGATGAATTCAGCTGACTTGCATTTCTTTCACTAGCTTCAAATTAGTGATTCTGTAATACAATTAATTTCTATCCAATCTGTGCAGAACCTAATTAAAGAATGTTTGTAGTTTATTAGTAATACTTGTAGAACTCAAGAGTTAAATACTAGATGCCAATCCAGGAGGACGATTTTTAGGTATCCTATTCAATCTACTAAAGAGTTATAAGAAAGGCATCCATAACTGCTTACATTATAGTGCACCCTGCTGTCCTGGTAGTAACTGATGTTGAACTATGCAAACTTAACTGATGTTAAACAATGCACATTTAACTGACGTTGAACTTTGTTTTCTTCTCCTTCTTCTTCGATCCTTCTGTCAGAAAACATATATTAGGAGGCCGGTAGCCTTTATGAAAGCTATCGTGCAGTCCATATCTCCCCCTGCACCATTCAGCTTTGTCTTCACTTAGGTTGGAACAGGTTTCATATTAAAGAAAATATGTGTGTCACTATGTTTGTGGGGACGATTTCACCACACTGTATGTGCCTTTCGACCTGCTACATCTTTAACTGATGTATAATATCTTTACACATAATTTTACTAGACATGAAATGTTTTACAGTTTCAAATCCGATTAAAAACCATCCGCATCTAGGAGTCTATGTTGGCAATGATAAATGGTAGGTGAGCATCTTGTGACTAAATCAGCTGTTGTTTATTTAACATTTTCCCTATAAGCACAACTGAGGCTTCGCTGAGAAACTTTAGGGGCTGTGAGCCTCTTATAACTAAATCAACTGTTATTTATTCAACATATAATCTATAAGCACAATTGAGGCTTCAATGAGAAACTTCAGGGGCTGCGAGCATCTTCGAACTAAATCAACTGTTATTTATACAACATATTACGTATAAGCACAATTGAGGCTTCAATGAGAAACTTCAGGGGCTGTAAGCATCTTCGAACTAAATCAACTGTTATTTATTCAACATATTACGGAAAAGCACAATTAAGGCTTCAATGAGAAACTTAAGGGGCTGTGAGCCTCTTCTAACTAAATCAACTGTTATTTATACAACATATTATCTATAAGCACAATTAAGGCTTCAATGAGAAACTTCAGGGGCTGTGAGCCTCTTCTAACTAAATCATCTGTTATTTATTCAACATATTACGTATAAGCACAATTGAGACTTCAATGAAAAACTTCAGGCGCTGTGAGCATCTTCTAAATCAACTGTTATTTATACAACATATTACGTATAAGCACAATTAAGGCTTCAATGAGAAACTTCAGGGGCTGTGAGCCTCTTCTAACTAAATCAACTGTTATTTATTCAACATATTACGTATAAGCACAATTAAGGCTTTAATGAGAAACTTCAGGGGCTGTGAGCCTCTTCTAACTAAATCATCTGTTATTTATACAACATATTACGTATAAGCACAATTAAGGCTTCAATGCGAAACTTCAGGGGCTGTGAGCCTCTTCTAACTAAATCAACTGTTATTTATTCAACATATTACCTATAAGGACAATTGAGGCTTCGCTGAGAAACTTCAGGGGTGTGGAGGTGTCAATGAAGTCTTCAGTTACCTAAATAAGAAAAATTCAAGACAATCTTTCAGCCTTTACAAACATTGTGAATATTTACAATTTGTTTTTTTTTTAATACTCTGCAGTGGTACCTTGACTTATGAACAGCTCTAATGTGAACTTTTCGAGATATGAACTTTTTTATTTCCCATTTTGACCTCTACATACAAACCTAGATTTGAATTATGAACTGTGATGCACTGCTCTTGTGTTCGTTGTTACTACGTCACATTTATCTGAAATATAATGCAACGAGTGGTGTGTGCTATGCATGCTATTCATACTTATTTATGTATCTATCCTGGTATTTGTATAATTTTCTTCTTCTTCTTTCAGTAGCTGTTAGCAAGCGGAAAGACCTGGCTGTTCGTCCTTTTGGACTTTGGCTTTGTGCTACAGCCTGAATTTTGCGTGCACATACATTTTACTGGCTAACTTGTGTGTAGTTGGTTCCTTCCTTGCCAGTTGGGCAGATGCCCTTCAACTTCAAAGGAAGCCCTCAATTAGTCTTCTCTTACGACATGCTTTTGGGTAGGCAGTGGGTCTATTCTTGTTTTCCCTACAACGGGGCGTTATCGACAAACAATTCAAATTATTATTTTGATAATGTGTATTATTACCAACATGTGGCCAAAGAAAACTGAGAAAGAACAGGAAATGAAAACTCCAACAGAAACTAAGAAACAGATTGTGGAAAAATATGAGACAGAAGTCTGGCAACTGTTCTGTGCAAGCAGTTTAACACTGCTATAATCCTCAAGAAAGGAGATTTTTGTAAGGAACTGAAGTAATTATCATGTCTTCTCGAAGAAATAAAGTTTTGGAAGAAATGGAAATCATACTTCTTGTCTGGATTAATGAATTCAACTGAAAACAAATAGTGCATTTGAAAATATGATCCACTTAAAAGCTCACGCTATTTACAAAGATCTGTTGCAGAACTTGTCAACTACTACCAATAGCAAAGCCATTGATGAAGAGTTCAAAACTAGCATAGAATGGTTTGAGAAATTCAAGAATAAAACCAGATGCATAGTGTTGTTAAGACATAGAGAAGGTGCTAGTGCTGACAACAACAAGAAAGAAACTGAAAAGCCTGTGAAGGAATTTGAGAAACTGATGGCATCAGAAAGTTGCAGACCAGAACAAGTTTTTAGCTGTGCTGAAACTGGGCTTTCTGAAAGAAAATCCTTAAGAGAATGTTCATCAGTAAGGAGGAAATGGCACCGCCAGGATGCAAGCCAATGAAAGACAGACTAACTTTGCTCTTTTGTGCCAGTACTAGTGGTGATCTGAAGATAAAACCTCTGTTGGTTTATCACTCTGAAAATTCTAGATTTTAATGAACAGAACATTAACAGACACAATCTCTACTTTATGTGAAAAAATAAAAGCAGAGCTTGGGTAACCTAGCAATTCTTCTGTGAGTGGATGACAGAGGTCTTTCTTCCCACAGTGAAACGGTATCTATAAGAAAAGGGTTTGCCAAAGAAAGTTCTTTATAATGTGGTCAATGCGCCAGGTCATCCACCATAGTTGAAAGAAGATTTGGATAAAGAGCACAATTTAATCAAAAGTAGGTTGCTGCCTCCCAATACCACATCAATCCTACAACCAATGGATCAGTGTTTTATTTCCAACGTAACAAAGCTTTATAGCATAGCTCTTTATGAATGATGCTTCAAAGTTGCACAAACACAGAATTAACCTTCAGGGATTTCTGAAGGAATCACTTCAGTATTCTACATTGTTTGTATCTTTTTAATCAGGCGTGGGAACATGTTTGCGGAGAACTCTAAAATATGCCTGGAAAAAATTATGGCACGACTGTGTCCGATGAACTGCACTAGGAGGACCTGAAAGTGAAACTGACATTGTAGATACAGTTGATATAGTAGATACAGTCTCCCCGGGCAAAACTGTTCATTTTGGCTCTGTTGGAAGATGATAAAGCAGACATGGAGGAGCTGGCAGAGGATCAGAAAACTTAGTTGGTCACAGAAGAGCTACAAGAGTTACTAACTAAACGAGAAAAAATAAGCGATAAGAAAGAGGAGAAAATGTTTTCGCAGAATGAAAATAGCAACAACAAAAAAGAGGAGCACTCCTAACAAGCCACAAACAAATCGTGCAGCACTGGGGCCTATAAAAAGAATAAGTGACCAAGTGGCATTTCAACCAAGCTTTTGTTCCCAGAACCACGAGTCTTCAATAATAATTTCATTAATCATTGCAAACAACATTAGACAGTTTTTTAAAACCTTCCTCGCCAACGAAACACAAGATACTTCTTTTTTTTCCGTCTGTGTTTATCCAAAGATAAAACTGCGTTGTGTCCATTTAAGCAAGGCTGCGATGTTTGCACCTTTCAACCAACACATCCGATTTCTGCAGGCATTTGTTAGTTAGCCTTCCTGGACATCAAAGTGTTTCCAGATGTATATTATATGTCAGCTTCATTCTGTCTGTGTACATCTTTTGGACTGGAGCTAACTAATATAAACAGTAGCAGACTGTCATGAGAGATAACCTGAAGAGTTTAGACATTTCATCTTAGAGAATTTTATCTAGACTTATTTCCTACTTCTGAGGAGACTCAGCCAGCTTTCTTTCATTTCTGAACCAACTACAGGCTGCATCCGGGTGTCCAGGGACTGTGTTGCTTGGGAGAAATGGGGGTGGGGGGGGGGGTGGGGGGGGTGGGGGGGGCATTTGTCCTATTTCTAACTGGATCAGGAGGTAGAAGTTGAAAAAAACATACATCTCCCACCAGTAAGTCAGTGTGGGTAAACTATAACCTTATACTGACAGTTAACATCTTCTTCCCAATATGTCCCAAAGCGTGAAAAATTAAAGAGCCTTTATTTTTAGATGTATGTTCCTACCTGACTGACAAGAGCATCCTGAACTTTGACCTTAAGGGTAGTTAGCTTCTCATCCAGATGACGGGCAATAGCCTTGGCTTGAGGTCCATGCCCCTGACAACACAAAAATGAAAGGATCAAATAATACTTCTAGAAAACGAATACATACTGAAGGCCTAATCGACATTCATGTGTGAAAGCAAAGATCTGATGTTGTAGCAATGTGAACTGCATATACGATCACAGCTATATGTGGTCAGGTTACTAATCCCCTTTTTGCATTTCACATTTTTCCAACCTAGAACAACGTCCGACTAGCGTCTTCAGAAATTTCAATCGATTGATCAGGTGCCATCCTCACAACAAAGGTTTGCTGCAATGGATATCCAATCCAACATTCTCTATTTCTCGTCTCAGCTGTAAACTCTCTGAGACTGCAGTTTTTGTATCTTTTGATGTTATCCTCCTAATCGTATATATATCTACCTCTTGCTCTCTTGTCTTCAGCTGTTCTCTTCAGTCCATGTTTTAAAAGAGTGTTATGTCTTTCAGTGTGGCTGAAATATTTACATAGTTTCTGTTTTAATGTATTTCATCAACTCTCTTTTTAAATCTGGTCTCTTCAAAACCCCTGTATGTGACAATTTTTATTTTTCTGAAATAAGACCTATTCTTCTGTTTATTTGTCTGACATAAGACCTATTCTTCTGTATATCTGTCTGACATAAGACCTATTCTTCTGTATGTCTGTATGACATAAGACCTATTCTTCTGTATATCTGTCTGACATAAGACCATTCTTCTGTATATTTGTCTGACATAAAACCTATTCTTCTGTATTTCTGTCTGACATAAGACCTATTCTTCTGTATATTTGTCTGACATAAGACCTATTCTTCTGTATATCTGTCTGACATAAGACCTATTCTTCTGTATATCTGTCTGACATAAGACCTATTCTTCTGTTTATTTTTCTGACATAAGACCTATTCTTCGGTTTATTTGTCTGATATAAGACCTATTCTTCTGTTTATTTGTCTGACATAAGACCTATTCTTCTGTATATCTGTCTGACATAAGACCTATTCTTCTGTATGTCTGTCTGACATAAGACCTTTTCTTCTGTTTATTTGTCTGACATAAGACCTATTCTTCTGTTTATTTGTCTGACATAAGACCTATTCTTCTGTATATCTGTCTGACATAAGACCTATTCTTCTGTATGTCTGTCTGACATAAGACCTATTCTTCTGTATATCTGACATAAGACCATTCTTCTGTATATTTGTCTGACATAAAACCTATTCTTCTGAATACCCTTATCTCTATCAACTCAGTCTGAAACATTTTGCATTTATTGTCCAGTGTCTGCACTGCATAGTAAGGCTGAGTACACATAACATCTGTTAATGCAGTTAAACTTTCTAGATGTTAATAATTTTAACATCTTGTTGTATACATTCCTGGCCATTTATATTCTTTTTATTTTTTTACTTTTTTTTTTAATTTCTATGTCACTTATGGTGTCATTTTTAATACAGCTCTAAGATGGAGAAATTCCTCACTTGTTCTCTTATTTCTCCGTTTACTGTAATGCCCATCGGCGGTCGCTCTTTTTAATTGATAATTATCATACTTTAAAAAATATATATATATATATATATTAATATCTAATCTATACTCTGCAATTCATTTAGAGCATTACAGACTTCTCAATTGACATAATGGCCACCTAGGTCAGTTCCCATGGTAATTAACTCTTCGAGTCCTAAGGAACGCATCATACGTTCATAGATTCCTACCTAGAAGCCCAATGAACGCAAAATGCGCAGATTTTACCTCTCTCTGGACTACCCCTTGGGCCTGTGATGCTAAACCCCCTGGGACTCAAAGAGTTAACAATACACTGGAGGAAAAACAGGCACACTTTTAATCAGGTTGCAAATGGCACCACTGACATTTGAAGTTTTTACTGGCTGCTGAGGAGGGGGATCGGGCACAAATGGGAATGTCCTGAATGCAATGAAGGCAATACCTGATTCATTCATTCATTAACAAAATACCTCCTCCAAAGGTGTCTCCACCTTGCCACGGTGGGGAACCTGTGTTTCTCAACGATCCTGGGAGCTATGCCGGCGGTAGCGTAGCTACCAGCAGGGCCTCCTAAGCCGGAAAGGTCGAAAGGTAGAGAACAGACAAAGAGAGACACCCTGGACCTCCAGGTTAGGGGGCTTAAGCATGGTGCCTACACCCCCACCTTCGTAAAACTTCATCTCATCATGAAACAGATATCTAAGCCTCGATTTTGGATGGATTTAAATGGACAACAAAACTGGAATGTTAAAAGACTTTTGAGATAATGTCCAGACAGACCTTCAAAAACTTGCTGTCACCAACTGGAGAGAGAAGACCAACCAGAGAGATGAGTGGAGGCGGGTGATATCTGCAGTAATGAACCTCAAAGGTCCAGATCCTGAAGAAAAAGAAGATTAGCAAAATACACTAATATCACACAAAGATGTGCTTGTACCTATCATTTGTAGTTCTGTTTCCTACCTGGCCTTTCTTTTTCAGTTCAGAAATTTGATTTGTTAGAATCTCTGATTCTTCACACAGCTTCAGCAGTTCCTGTCTTTGTGGGCCGGTACAGCAGCTGGCAACTTTCTGTCCTTCACTGACCACCAAACGCGTGGCAGACTCACCTGTTCAAACAGCAATGTCACAATTGTCACCACCGTCATTGTGAAAAATGTGTGACAAAAAGAAATACTCAACCTGTTAACATAAACACTCAATTATTCTGTGCTCCCCATGTGGGCTTGCTCTCTCTCTCTCTCTCTCTCTCTCTCTCTCTCTCTCTCTCTCTCTCTCTCTCTCTCTCTCTCTCTCTCTCTCTCTCCCTCCCTCCCTCCCTCCCTCCCTCCCCTCTCTCTCTCTCCCTCCCTCCCTCTCTCTCTCTTTCTCTCTCTCTCTCTCTCTCAATCTCTCTCTCTCTCTCTCTCTCTCTCTCTGAGTGTGTGTGTGTGTACACACACACGTCTTTATTTCTGTGACCCTGTTAGTTGCAGTGTTAAGATAGTCTAGTTATTTTTATGAGGTTTTCTCACTCTATGTCCTAGTCAACACTAGTGCTTTTCCTAACCTCTAGATTTACTTGAATTTATTTAGTTTTCACCCCAAAACTCAACATTTGTAATTCTGTCATACCTTTAAATTCCATCTATTCTATTTAGTTATTGAATGCTTTATAGTTTATCAGTAATTAATGTATTTCTTTATCTCCCATTATTTCTTTGGCCCTGAGAGATCCAGCAATAAGAAATTTTAGATATGTAATTATTAGGTTTCATTCACACAAGCCAACCAACAATGAACAAACTACAACATTTTAATATTCGCTGACCCAGTCCGTTGTCATCAAGGCCAGGGTTTGCCAGCCACTGACGAGCTTGTTCAACCTTGCCATCCACTGTAGGGGCAGGCTTGCGGATACCACTGCGTTCAGTGCTGATGGTTGCTTGTGCCGTCTGCTGCTGGAGTTTCATCAGCTGGTCTTGAATGCTCCGGGAAAGAAAGTCAGCGGATTCGCTGCTTCCCTGGACAATAAAATAATAACTATGAAATAAACTATCAGATTTGAGGTGCAGCTCTGTGGCTTAGCAGTTAGTGAATGGGATTCATCCTCAATGAGCAAGTGTTCAAACTCCACAGCAAATAATTTATAATGTTGAGAAAAAAACATTCACACTCCATAGCAATTAATGTTTACTATTTTTTAAAAAAAAAACAGAACTCAAAAGTTATCCGATTGCGCATTTGTATTAGTTGGCGGGAAAGCCTGGATGAGTAAGAACCGTTGAAGATTCAGATGCAAAAGAGCTGTTATCATTTCGGCTGACCTTAAGATATTCTTGTAGGCAATTTGGACATTTTCACTCATTAAATTACGAAGGTTTTGACTGTCAAAATTTTTTTTCTTTTCAGTAGCTATGCATCTTTTTTTTTTTTTTAAGCAGTAGTAGTAAAGAAAAAGATTGTTGTTGTTCTCAACAATGGTACAAGAGTTGCACCATGGAAGAGATTGTAGCCTCACCAGGTAACATTCCCAATGGAAGCAGCTTATGCAAACCTCCCCTGCAGGGAACCTCCATTGTGGGGAAGGCGTAACATTTTGACATCGGTGACTAAGTCGCCCATTTGCTGGTGGCCGGTAGACAACTTTGTCACAAGTCGGTGCGGTATTTGGGTCTGTCTCTCTTGATCACATCAACACTGCAAGATCCTTTTCAGGGCTCTTGGTGGTAATCACTGACTGACTTTCTACCCCACCAGGACATCACACAAGCGATAAACACCCGATGACACAAAGTGCCACCATTTGGATGAGGATCACCGTGGAGAGGTCCCAGAAACCGCGTTCAGACAATTGGCCATATTTATGGCTTGCCTATATTGCGGCCCCTGGCAAAAGCCAGGGTGGGGCTTCAAATAACTAAAAAGTTTGTCCTAAAGACGACAAAACTATTTTCCGAAGTAAGGGTTAACATATGGTGGTATGCAATGCAAAGCCATTTTATATGGCGCAAATAACCTAGTCACAATTATAACCTAAGCTTCCCCTTCAGAGATGCAGGTAGAATGTGACGATTTTTATTTTTTTAGCAAAGCAGCAAAACATAAAATTTAGGATCTAGAAAACTTGCTGAACAGACTGGAAAGTGTCAAGAATATACCTTGGCAGAAACCAACTAATGAAGAGAACTACATACTCAGAAAACTTGTTGAACAGACTGGAAAGTGTCAAGAATATACCTTGGCAGAAACCAACTAATGAAGAGAACTACATACTCAGAAAACTTGTTGAACAGACTGGAAAGTGTCAAGAATATACCTTGGCAGAAACCAACTAATGAAGAGAACTACATACTCAGAAAACTTGTTGAACAGACTGGAAAGTGTCAAGAATATACCTTGGCAGAAACCAACTAATGAAGAGAACTACATACTCAGAAAACTTGTTGAACAGACTGGAAAGTGTCAAGAATATACCTTGGCAGAAACCAACTAATGAAGAGAACTACATACTCAGAAAACTTGTTGAACAGACTGGAAAGTGTCAAGAATATACCTTGGCAGAAACCAACTAATGAAGAGAACTACATACTCAGAAAACTTGTTGAACAGACTGGAAAGTGTCAAGAATATACCTTGGCAGAAAACCAACTAATGAAGAGAACTACATACTCAGAAAACTTGTTGAACAGACTGGAAAGTGTCAAGAATATACCTTGGCAGAAACCAACTAATGAAGAGAACTACATACTCAGAAAACTTGTTGAACAGACTGGAAAGTGTCAAGAATATACCTTGGCAGAAACCAACTAATGAAGAGAACTACATACTCAGAAAACTTGTTGAACAGACTGGAAAGTGTCAAGAATATACCTTGGCAGAAACCAACTAATGAAGAGAACTACATACTCAGAAAACTTGTTGAACAGACTGGAAAGTGTCAAGAATATACCTTGGCAGAAACCAACTAATGAAGAGAACTACATACTCAGAAAACTTGTTGAACAGACTGGAAAGTGTCAAGAATATACCTTGGCAGAAACCAACTAATGAAGAGAACTACATACTCAGAAAACTTGTTGAACAGACTGGAAAGTGTCAAGAATATACCTTGGCAGAAACCAACTAATGAAGAGAACTACATACTCAGAAAACTTGTTGAACAGACTGGAAAGTGTCAAGAATATACCTTGGCAGAAACCAACTAATGAAGAGAACTACATACTCAGAAAACTTGTTGAACAGACTGGAAAGTGTCAAGAATATACCTTGGCAGAAACCAACTAATGAAGAGAACTACATACTCAGAAAACTTGTTGAACAGACTGGAAAGTGTCAAGAATATACCTTGGCAGAAACCAACTAATGAAGAGAACTACATACTCAGAAAACTTGTTGAACAGACTGGAAAGTGTCAAGAATATACCTTGACAGAAACCAACTAATGAAGAGAACTACATACTTAGAAAACAAATCAGCATGTAGCCCGTGAAACTATACAAGATTATATCAAGTGTATATCAAGAATACACTATGCTGATGTGGAAAGTGGAAAAATATTATGTAACCTTAATAACTGCAAGAACAGTATAACTAATCAATAGCAAGTTCTGATGTGAAATGTTAGGGCACATTACAAATCTTAATCATAAACCAAAAGTGTCTAACCGTCTCTGTCTCTCTCACACACACAAATTCTCTTCATCTCTCATTTTCTCTGTGTCTTTTTGTCTCTCCTTCATTCTCTCTGTCCCCTTCTCTCTGTCTCTCACTCACTCGCTCCCTCCCACCAACCCACCCACCCACGCACACATGCATGCATGCACACATGCATGCACACACACACATACACACACACACTTTAACACACCAAGTAAATATATGTTACGCCCGCCTGCGGTTCGGAAGGTCGTGGGTTCGCATCCTGATGGAGCCAGACTTCTTTTTCAAAAAATTACCCTGACTTCCAGGTTGACACCGCCTTGAGTGGGTACCAGGTGCAGTCCTGGGAAGTAAAGGTGGCTGGCGTGATGCTGACCACATCACCCACCAAATGCCGATTGGTCTATAAAAACACAGGTCTAGCCCTATATTTCCAATATGCCTAAAGGCGTGGAAAAGGGACCTTGTACATATATGTTGTCTGTACATGTAAGTTAATTAAAAACTGTTCCTTCACACATTCTGGTTAATTACAGTCTAAGGAGAAGGGCGCTGCAATGAGTTACCAGGGGATCTGGCAGACGCTCAACACTCAGGGGAAGGAAAAGACGGATATACAATAAGACGGTTACTGGTACCATCGGAATTTGAACTCTTCGCTTGCTGTTTGTTGCTGAAAATGGAGACTGAGCACTAATTAGAGCCTTCAAGTGCTATGATGTAGATTTTATAATTCAACATTCTGGTTATACCTTTCCTTGCTGCCTGAGTTCAGACAGAGCATTGACCATGCTCTCCACATTACTGGCACTTCGCAGTATAGTTTCAGCATCCCCAGGATTTGCACATCTTTCTGCAATCTTTCGTGAGTCTTCGATAATCTGATGGACGGCCTTATCACCTGAAATACATACAACAAATGTAAATTATAAACTACATTATTACTTGACTTGACAAATATAATAACCTGACACATCATCATCCTGCTGTAAGATTAAGTTCACAGTACCTGACATTAATCCCCTCTATTCTGTACAGGCACCATTTAATAAATGTTGATTTGTTTATTAGTGATTAATGAATCTCTCTCTCTCTCTCTCTCTCTCTCTCTCTCTCTCTCTCTCTCTCTCTCTCTCTCTCTCTCTCTCTCTCTCTCTCTCTCTCTCTCTCTCCTCTCTCTCTCTCTCTCTCTCTCTCTCTCTCTCTCTCGTCTCTCTCTCTCTCTCTCTCTTCTCCTCTCTCTCTCTCTCTCTCTCTCTCTCTCTCTCTCTCTCTCTCTCTCTCTCTCCTCTCTCTCTCTCTCTCTCTCTCTCTCTCTCTCTCTCTCTCGTCTCTCTCTCTCTCTCTCTTCTCTCTCTCTCTCTCTCTCTCTCTCTCTCTCTCTCTCCTCTCTCTCTCTCTCTCTCTCTCTCTCTCTCTCTCTCTCTCTCTCTCTCTCTCTCTCTCTCTCTCTCTCTCTCTCTCTCTCTCTCTCTCTCTCTCTCTCTCTCTCTCTCTCTCTCTCTCTCTCTCTCTCTCTCTCTCTCTCTCTCTCTCTCTCTCTCTCTCTCTCTCTCTCTCTCTCTCTCTCTCTCTCTCTCTCTCTCTCTCTCTCTCTCTCTCTCTCTCTCTCTCTCTCTCTCTCTCTCTCTCTCTCTCTCTCTCTCTCTCTCTCTCTCTCTCTCTCTCTCTCTCTCTCTCTCTCTCTCTCTCTCTCTCTCTCTCTCTCTCTCTCTCTCTCTCTCTCTCTCTCTCTCTCTCTCTCTCTCTCTCTCTCTCTCTCTCTCTCTCTCTCTCTCTCTCTCTCTCTCTCTCTCTCTCTCTCTCTCTCTCTCTCTCTCTCTCTCTCTCTCTCCCTCTCTCTCTCTCTTTATATATATATATAGATATACACACACATATTTATCATCATCATTGTCGTGTGCAATCCGAAGATCCACACTACGGACAACCGATAATGAACATAGGGTATGACGAGAGACACGACGTCACTTGCCGACAGGAATTTATTCCAGACAGATGACGGTTGCAAGAAAGGTGTTGATGGCCGAGGTTGGAAACCAGTCTTAGATGGATCCGTAGTTGATGCTGCTGTTTGCGGGGAGCTGAGGCTCATTGCTCCGGATTAGAGGAACCGTCGTTTAATATAGTGACTGTACTATATGCCTTTCATTGACACCATTTATATCTGTGAGGAATTGCTTAATAAAATTCTTGTATTTGCCTGCCAACGACGTGTTTCTGAAATGTAGCAGTTTTCAAGGGTTGACTTCGTTACGGCGTTTTTCTGCCAGTCGTTGGTTAGTTGACAGTTGTACCCCTAGAATAATCGTTTACTTGGTAGCCCGTACAGAATGGAAAAAGAACCCGTACAATCATCAAGTGCCATGCTGACAGGCGAGGGCATTTATGCCTCTCCACAATCTGCGATCTGCAACTGCATGTATCAGTTTGTGTGCTGATTCCCTTCCCAGCCATGACAAAAGATTGTCAAGAATCTTCTCAAGCTGTCTTCCTCTGTTATTTTTTTTTCCACATAACTTTCAAGTTGTAACAACATGTTCCATTTTTTCTCTTCTCATAACATGACCCCAAAAATTATGACTGTCTCTTTCTGGTGTTTGTGATAAGTTGTCTTCGAACATTCACTTTTTCCAAAACATCTGTGTTGCTCTTTTTAGTGTAAATTCTTCTGCCTTTTGTTAGCTGACATATATACCAAGTGTAAATTATAAACTCTGTAATCCCTACCATAATAACAGGTGTAAATTATAAACTCTGTAATCACTAGCATCCATAACAAGTGTAAATTATAAACTCTGTAATCACTATCATACATAACAGGTGTAAATTATAAACTCTGTAATTACTAGCATACATAACAGGTGTAAATTATAAACTCTGTAATCACTAGCATACACAACAGGTGTAAATTATAAACTCTGTAATCACTAGCATACATAACAGGTGTAAATTATAAACTCTGTAATCACTAGCATACATAACAGGTGTAAATTATACACCACCTCATCTCCTGATTATCTTTAGAAGATAAAGCAGTTGTTCAGAAACGATCTTCACACTTAAACAGATAACATAAAAGAACATTGAATATGATAAGAACTTATTTGTGGAATTAGTAGACCATGAGAAGGCGTTCGACAAAGTCATATATTTACTATCTAATCGCTTGATGTAAGCAACAAGTGTAAATTAAACAATAATTCATATTATGTTGAGAAATCCCTATGGCCAAAATATTTAATTTATATTAAAAATATAACTTATCTCAGTTAAAAATACAACCAATTCTTATCTAAATCAGTACTAAGTAACTCACAGTGTGTTTATTGATAACTTCATACACTATGTTTCATCTTAAACTCTTTAGCTCTATATGATGCTCAGATAAATCCACTACTATTACCTTATTTCCTAAATGACTCCACTTCTCCTATCTAATTCTTAAAGAAATCCATTCATCTTATGTAATTCATTTGTCCTATTAAATTCTTACATAAATATCCTTGTCCAATCTAATTCTGACATGAATCCACATGTCCAGTCTAATTCTTACATTAATCCACTTGTCCTATCTAATTTTTACATGTACTCATTTATCATATCTAATTCTTATATAAATCCACTTATCTTGTCTAATTTGTATAGGAATCAAATTGTCCTATCTAATTCTTATAAGAATTTACTTGTTCTATCTAATTCTGACATGAATTAACTTGTCCTATCTAAATCTTATATAAATCAACTTGTCCTATCTAATTCTTATATAAATCAACTTGTCCTATCTAATTCTTATATAAATCAACTTGTCCTATCTAAATCTTATATAAATCAACTTGTCCTATCTAATTCTTATATGAATCAACTTGTCCTATCTAATTCTTATATGAATCAACTTGTCCTATCTAATTCTTATATTAATCAACTTGTCCTATCTAAATCTTATATAAATCAACTTGACCTATCTAATTCTTATATGAATCAACTTGTCCTATCTAATTCTTATGTAAATCAACTTGTCCTATCTAAATCTTATATAAATCAACTTGTCCTATCTAATTCTTATAGGAATCAACTTGTCCTATCTAATTGTTATATGAATCAACTTGTCCTATCTAATTCTTATATGAATCAACTTGTCCTATCTAATTCTTATATGAATCAACTTGTCCTATCTAATTCTTATATGAATCAACTTGTCCTATCTAATTCTTATATAAATCAACTTGTCCTATCTAATTCTTATATGAATCAACTTGTCCTATCTAATTCTTATATGAATCAACTTGTCCTATCTAATTTTGACATGAACCACCTGTCCTATCTAATTCTTATATGAATCAACTTATCCTATCTAAATCTTATATAAATCAACTTGTCCTATCTAATTTTGACATAAACCACGTGTCCAATCTAATTTTGACACAAACCACCTGTCCTATCTAATTCTCACATACATCCACTTGTCCTATCTAATTCTTACACACATCCACTTGTCCTAACAAATCCTTACATCAATGCACATGTCTTATCTTATTCATCCATGAATCCGGTTGTCTATCTAATTCTTACATATATCCAGTTGTCATATCTAATTCTCAATTAATCAATTTGTCTACATAATTCTTACATTAGCCCACTTGCCCTAGGAAATTTTTACACAGCGAATCTAAACTGTCATTTCAAGTCTTTCTGTCATCTTCTTCTGTATTCATCCTTAGAAAAGTGGGTGGCACATGGTGTTGTGGTTTACAGCTAGGCTGCAATAACTGTTCCTTCTGGCTGAATACATTAGATTTCAGCAATGTCTGGGTAGGAAATCAGTAAAAGGCCCTCCAATAATAGGCCCAAAAAGCCAGTAACACAGTATACAAAATGTTACATTCAGAATAAGGAAATAAGATATATCTGATATTTTCTCACCGAGACTCCCAATTAGGGCTGCTGGATCTCTCAGCCAGTCACTAGCAGGCTTCATTTTACCTTCAATCACATTCTAATTCAGACAGACAAACATTAAAAATGTTAAGGAGATACTAAAAACAGCCTTTTGCAAATATGACATTTTTTCAAATCTGTATCAGCCTTAACCCTTTCACTCTGGAGACCTAGAAAAAAGAAGGCCCAATCTTGTACTTTCCATTTTTTGGGATATTCCAATTTTTTAAAATCCTTATAAAAACAATTATTTTATATATGTCACAAACACAACAGCATAAAATGAATTCTTCATCCAAACCCTTCTCCTCTTTTGGTGTATGCTTTGTGTGAAATTACACTGCAAGGCAATTGTTTCTAAGCAGGCAAATCTACTTGATCTGCTGTTTTTATATGCAATTTAGACTTGGTTCTGTGCAGTCTTTTTGTGTTATGCTGCATTTCTGATCCCTCCTGCAGCCCTTCTTAGACATCTCATTTCTAATTTATATATATTTATTTAAATGGTTTGTTGTGAGGGACCGTGTCTAGCACCGGCAGCACACAGAGAGAATGAGTATGCTTTGTATAAGATGTTTCTTTGTGGTGACTGGAATGTAAGAGGGAGGCTAACTGTTCCAACACTTGGTGAATGTTGTACCCAGATATTTAAACTCAGATGCCTCTTTAATGCATTTCCACTCTACTGTAATATTTAATTTATGCTACTTTCTTCCTATTGACATTATTTCTGTCTTTTCAGTGTTGATTCTCATTTCTTTATTACATTCTTTATTTATAAATCTTAATATGCTGTTACAATTTCATGGCTGTATCTGTTATCAAGGCCGGGTCATCAGCAAAGAGTAATTCATTGATTTTTACTAATATTTGTGTTTCTTGGATTGGTATCCTTGCCTATACTGTTGATGGAGGGGATGGATAAACAGCAGTGCTGATAAGACACATGCTTGCCTATCTTACTCCATACATTAATGTGAATGAATTAATCAAGTAACAGAAAGTATTGTGAACGGCACTCATAGAAAGAAGTAGAAAGGTAGAAGAACACACTAGACAACATAAAAATCGAAAGCTATAGTTACCGTGCCGGGAATTGAACCTGTCACCTCCAGACGGCGTCTGCGCCTCGCCATGAATACAAGTGCACTAAGATACATGGTCAACTCGGCACCCCCAAAAAAAGGTGTCTCATTGGCCATGTCTATCGTACAGCTTGAAATCCACAACTATGGAATTCGGACAGAATTCATTTCAACCCATTGAAATGGCACCATAGGTTACAGAAATTTATATTAACGAAGCAAATGTCGAATAACAATCACAGCAACAATTTACGAACACAGTAAGACCTTATTGCTTTGTCTAGAATACACAAACATTTAAGAAAGGTATTTGATTGGTAGGTTCCGGTGTATATACGTCTACTTCTTTCTATGAGTGCCGTTCACAATACTTTCTGTTACTTGATTAATTCATAATATTTAACGGCCTCAAATGGTTCCCCCCTCTGTTTATTTATTAATGTGAATGGTTTAGATGTTCCCTGATTCATATTAACTAAGCCTCCACAATCCCTATATAAACTTTTGCATACTTCAATGAGCTGTTTGCTTACTCCTTATCAAGCCATTACTTTCTTTAATACTTGTCTGTCAACTCTATCAAATGCCTTCTCTTGGTCTACAAATGCTACATATAAGTTCTTAACTGTATTCATTATTCTTTTCTATCAACTGTTTAAGTGTATAGATTGCATCTGTGCAGCCTCTATTTCTTCTGAAACTCATCTGTTATTCTCCCAACTGTAGTTCTATCTGTGGTTCTGGTCCCAGTCTCGTTTCAATTATCCTGGCATACAGTTTCCCATCATAACTTAAAAGAGAGATGTCTCAGTATTGACTGCATTCTCACTTGCTTCCTTTGTTTTCCATGATGGTATTACTTTGCACGTGAACAGGATATCACTGATTAAATTACCACTACTACTACTACTACTACTACTACTACTACTACTACTACTACTACTACTACTACTACTACTACTACTACTACTACTACTTCTACTACTAGCATAAACTATGAAAAAGAAGCTCAATTGGGGGAAGCAAAAGATGATAATAGATACAACTGAATGTTTCAACCATAGTCTTTAACAACAACAAGAAAAATAACAAAAAACAGACAAATGTCTATACTGTAGTAAGCACCTGACAAGATAGAGTGAAATATGCTAAATATGTTTTGCTTGTTCCTGAAGACTATGGTCACAACAATCAATTGTGTTTGCAGTTGTTGTTGTTTTTTTGGTCAAGAGAACCATACAAGTAAAAGTTGGCAAGTAAAATAAACAGACAGCAAGATTACCTGTGCTTTCTTCATCACTGTGATGTCATCTTCATCCCATTCATCTTCATCATACGTGGTCAGCTGCAGGACACGGATAATCTCATGTATCTCATCTGACATCTTACGTACAGTGTAATCCCGATTATTCTGTGCTTCCTGCACACCTTGGTCTGATAATACATATTAATATTTGAACAATTTATTAATCAAAAGCATAAATTAATAAGCATAAAAAAAGTGCTTTAAAAATTCTAGAAAAACATGGATATACAACAATAAAGTTAAATGTCATTTTCTATTTCCACTTTTCGCTGTGTCGATTCCAGGACTCCGTTTTGGAAAAGAATAGACCCACTGCCTCCTTAATAAACATGTTGTAAAATTCGACTGATTAGGGAAGTTTTTTTCAGTCAGAGTACATCTGCCTGAGAAACAAGGAACCAACAGTCTGCATACAAATAAGCCAAGCCAGATCTGTCAAATGAATCTGGATGCAAAGCTCAAGTTCTGGAGTAAGACCAAAGCCAAGAAATGGACAAACAGCCAGAACTTTCCATCAAAGGTTACAGCTGGTGAACACAAAGAAGGAGAATATTTCCATACTTTCAAGCATTGGAGTATGTGTTGAGTTAGAATTAAGGGTTGGGTTATCTTCACAACACTCTCAACACATCCAGATGTGTTCAGATTCCCCTTTGACAATATTTATCAGCGTCAAGTAGCTAACTGCTAGTCTTATGTGGTTAACAAGACTTTCTGTATCTCTGGTGTGCCTCTCATGCTAGGCTGTGCCAATATTGACTCCCAATTCTCATGTTCTTAGCATTGATGTGGACATGCTGCTCCCAAAATCTTTGGATCATCCTGAATCTTTAAGGGCATTAATAATGTTGGCGAGATCCACAGGCTGGCCATCTTCAACTATATCAGAATTGGCCAGTCTGATATCGCAGGTGATATTCTTGCATATAGGCAGGGGAGAGATCGGATTCAAATTGCTCAAGAGTTACAGGTGACAGTAGATAAAAGAGGCTGAAAAGGGGAAAATCATGGATAGCTCAAGCAGAAGACACAATAAGACAAATATGCATGCTGAAGAACATTGGACAAGGAGAGGAGTGGGTCAGAGTACCAGAGGAAAAGTCTGACCTGTGTAGGGTCATGATCACATTAGGCGGGCAGTACAGAGTGACCAACAGGGGCTACAGAGGTGGAAATCTAACAGTTGATTCTCGTCCTGATGATCTGATTATATACACAAATGGTTCTGTATTGAGAGGGAAAAGAAGTGCCTGGGATTTTGTAGCAAAAGCTAATGGGAAATCTTTAGTGCAGGACAGCCTGGCACATGATACCACAACATTTAGCATGAGAATGGAGGTGGAGGCGGTCACTGCAGCCTGCCGGTGGCTAGAGAACAAGATACAAACACATGTTGTAATTGTAATGGAATCTGAAAGCATGCTGAAAAAGGTGAAGACAGGATTGCTTCGAGCAAGGTGACGGGTATAGAGCCTACTCTGGATCTTTTTTTCAGGCTATGCCGGCGTAGTGAACAGGCAGACAGACTAGCTGGGTTGTGAACTGATACAAGGTCAGAGCCTTTTGGGAACAAGCAACGAAGTCAGAAGAGAAACTAGATTATGGGCTGGGGAGAATGATGCATCTGGGGGTGACCAGATGGTTCGGCCGGTACACTACGCTCAGAGGAAAGGCAAGATGGACATTCAAACAGACTACGACTGGCACCATTAATATTGAAACTCTGCCCTTGCTGCTGAAGATGGGGATAGAGCGCCTATGGGAATGCCCGGAGCAGGCTGTGATGTAAATCTCTTAACTCAACTCAACTGACCAGTCTATGACCTCTTTCATTGACAATCTGCATACCATGGGACAAAGATGAACGTAACTGTAGGCACATGTGAGTTTTGCAATAACTCAGTCCATTGTCAGAGTACTAAGCCTGCCTTGGCCACACAGATCACACTCACAGAATCACTCAGCACACACATTAGAGAATTGTCTGTGATTCTATCCATATGAAAGCTTGTGTCATCGCCGTCTCCTCCATTGTCATGCTGCTAGTAGTCCTAGAGAAGGCACCGCTTGCTTCCTGGACTGTTCTGCCTGCATAGCAAGCTGTGAATGTCCATGCTCCCTTGTGTCCTCGCATTGTAAAACACTGATGAGGAGGTGTGAGCAAGTACTATAATTCTTGATAAATCAACACAGGGTAAACTCTGACACTGAAGCATCGAGATATGCCAGCCCTTGGGATTCATTATAGGAACACAGATTGCTTCGGCATGCCGGCCAGAATGTTTATGACCAGGTGATACAGACAGAGAAATCATATTAATCTTTCTGGTAGATACAGCGAGTCAACTGACCATAGCATCGAGATATGCCAGAACCATCTTGGGAAAGCACTAGAAACGGAGATTAGAACACAGGTCAGGCAAAAATCCTGCAGGTACTGACAGGCAAAGGAGATTAATCTTTCCTTTAGATAAGAAGGGACCAACGGAGAAAGAATCTAGGAAGATACCGATAAACAGGTGCTAGGATAGATGAGAGTGGAGTAGGAAATCGCCCAGGCTTGGTGAAGAAAGGAGATAACAGGAAAGGGGGCGGGGGGAACAAGGGGAAAGAAAGAAATCAGGACAGTTGGAACCAGGCGTCTTAGCCGGGCGGTCGCAAAACAAGGACTGGAGTTTGTGAACAGAGCAGTTTGCTGTATGGCAGAGAGTTACCTTCATTAGAAGATCAGACAGTTTTTACTTCGTATTAGAAGTACTTGTGAAGCATACACATACAGCAACAATAACCTGAAGTGTTCATCATCACTGTACCACAGAAATCAGTGTCGTACCTGATTGTGCATTATGTTGTTATAATAAACAACCTTAAACTGATATGAATTATTTGATCGATCACTGGCCAAGTTGTTAAACACAAGAAAGACACAAGAACTCTATCTATCATACATGTCCCATTTAGGCATGTTTACGCTTGAGTGGCATGAAAAAATAGATTGTGTTACACTTTTACAACAGACCCGTCTGTGTAGATCAGCACATCAGTCTAATCTTAACTATCACTGATAAGCACCTTAGCACTGAGATGAGAATTTCATGCTAATCTATTTTTGTTATAGATTAGGTGGTACTCTACATCCCCCATAGAGCACCAACTAATCTATAACAAGGCAGCAAGTGTGACTTCATCACATTGTTTTATCCCACATAGCTCAGTCTCTCTCCACAGAAAGGGAGTTCACCCACTGGCAGCATTGCACAAAGCATAAAACTCCATAGCTCAAGTGACGACCCCCTTCCACTGGCCTAGGATTTCTAATGGATTTCTTAATTCACGCTCTCAAAGAGTCCAAAACCAATCTCACCGCCATCTAAGCACAAGACAAATTTCTTAAACCTTTCACCTGATTAAAACTGCCTACCTTTTGATATAGGAAACATTAAAACAACTGGAAAGGCAGGCCAAGAGAGTTTACCCTGGACTGTCTAAGACAGTGGCATGAAGAGCTGTCATTAACAGAACTTATCCAGAATACCAAGGACCAATTTCCATAGAGCTACATGGACGCCTGTGGCAAGCCACATGATGATGATGTAAAAAAGCTACCTGATTGGCTGGCAGTGATAAAAATCTTGATGCTGCTGATGAGCACTGGAGTCAGGACCTTAACCTGTTCCAAAGATCTAATCAGCATGTCTCTGTGAATCTGATGGGTCAGTTCCTTTTCTCGATAGTCCACCTCCTTGGTCATTCTTGTGAGAACAGGGCTCAAATTCTGGAGAGAAAAAAGTTACAACATTAAGAATAAGTACTGCATTAACACTGCTTTGTCATGTATCAGTTCACCACCCAGCAGTGCAGATCCAGCCAGTCTGTCTGCCTCTTCACTTCTCACCACGCCGGCATTGCCTGGAGAAAATATCCAAAGTAAGCTCACTACACGTGACCTTGCAAGTGAAGCTTGCCACTCTGCTCGAAGCAATAATATCTTCACCTTTTTTCAGCATGCTTTCTGAGTCCGTTACAATTACAATGATGTGTATACATCTTATTCTCTAGCTACCGACAAGCTGCAGTGACCACCTCCACCTCCATTCTCATGCTAGACGTTGTGGTATCATCCGTTACAATTAGAATATGTGTATACATCTTGTTCTCTAGCCATCGGCAAGCTGCAGTGACTGCCTCTACCTCCATTCTCATGCAAGATGTCCTGGTATCATATGCCAGGCTGTCCTGCACTAAAGATTTTCCATTGGTTTTCGCTACAAAACCTCAGGCACTTCTATTCCCTCTCTACGCAGAACCATCTGTGTAGATAATTAGATCATCTTGGCGAGAATTGTCGTGAATCAACTGTTGGACTTTCAGCATCAAAACTAAGAGTGATTTTTGGAGAGCCAGAATGAATAAAAGGTATCTACATTAATTTTAATGAGAAAAAAATTGTTTCAGGAAAGGAGTTATTTGTTATTTACCTTAGAGCTCAGTCATGGATCATATTAGACTCTTATATTGAGGTTTCACTGTGCTTTAAAAATTCATTAACTGATGTTTGAGCTAAACATAACTCAAATACTATAACAGAATCACCAGTGTAGAGCTCATGAAGAGAACTCAATACATTTCATAAAAGTTTAGGAAACCCCCCCCCCTCCCCCACTAAACCATCCATCCATCATTCCATCTATATTATATATTGAAGACATTCATGAACAGACACACATGCAAATGTACACACAAAGACTTACCTTAATAAATGTCACTAAATCATCCATTCTGTCCACAACTTCTGTAATGGCCAGATAGTCCAGAACATTCTTACACACCCTGATGATTTTACGGACTTCAGACTCATCAAATGCCAGCAGCAAGGAGGAGGTGCCCTGTAGTATACCTGCAGAGACAGAAATGTTTTACTATATGTTTAACCAGCCAACAGCTCTGTCTATCTTTATGAAACCAGCTACCTCAACATATATCTTTGGAATATATTATAGCATTACTCTTCTCCCGCCGGCATGATGTTAGCCACATCTCGCACAGAGTGCTGACAGTTCTAAAAAATATAGGTTTAGTCTAGGGCTGTACCAAATAGTGGTTTTCACTATTCGGCCGAATACGAATAGTGGGACCAACTATTCGGCCGAATACGAATACGAATAGTGTATCATCATCATCAGGTGCCTCGCCGACTGGTGTGGCGATTTTGCCTCGCCACAATCTGCGATCTCCTGCAGCATGTATCAGTTTGTGTGCTGACACACCTCCATGACATGCAACGACTGTCAAGAATCTTCTCTCGTTGTCTTTTTCTATCTCTCCTTCCACAAATCTTTCCAGTGGTCACCACATGTTCCATTTTCACTCTTTCTATATGATGGCTGTCTTCTTCTGATGTCTGCGATTAGTTGTCTTCGGGCTCCCGCCTCTTTCAAAACCTAGTGGTTGCTTTTTTTAAGCTGTCCAAGGTATTTTAAGCATTGTTCTGTAAAACCACATCTCTGAGGCCTCAAAAAATTGTTTGGCCTGCCTACCGATTGTCCAGGACTCATAGCCATATGTTAAAACTGGATATATGTAGCAAGCAAGACAATGATATATTGCACAAGATTTTTTTTTTTTTTTAAATATAAAATGCATTTTTAGCCTGTCCTATTTTGTTTTTTATTTTAGTAATGCATCTTTCATCTGATTTTATCCATGTGCCAAATTCGCATTTAAATGATTTTTCGTTCAGGCGTTCGTTCAATGTAATTTAAATGCACCTTCATATTCTCGTTTGCAATATCTTCAATTTGATTTGGGAAAAGACACCCCGAAAGAACCAAAAAATGCTTGCTTTCTCTTTGTCTCTCTCTCTCTCTCTCTCTCTCTCTCTCTCTCTCTCTCTCTCTCTCTCTCTCTCTCTCTCTCTCTCTCTCTCTCTCTCTCACACACACACACACACACACACACACAGATACACTTTCAAGTTTCTTCATGGCTTCTTTAACACAACAGTAGCGATGCTTAAATCTTTCGTAGCGGGAAAAACGGCGACCCGTTTGCGTGGTAACAGCGCCTGACTCCGAGGCATTACAGCAGAGGTTCTAAAACTGGGTGCGTATGACAGGGGTGCCGCGGCGAAAATCAAGAAAAGTCGGCTATAAATTGTGACATTATTAATGAGAGAGTTATTTTAGTCCATCGCAGTGTATGCAGAAATCACTATTTGTATTCGGCCACTATTCGGCATAATACCAAATAGCTAGTAGGTCCACTATTTGGCCCCGAAGCGAATACGAAGCGAATAATCGGTACAGCCCTAGTTTAGTCCTATATGTCCTATATGCCTGAAGGCAAGGAAAAGGGACTTTTACTTTACTTTATTCCCCTTCTCACATTCACCCATTCTTTTATCTATAACCATAGTCTGATTTTTGTCTATAACCACAGGTGTTGCCCTGGAGACCCTGTCTAGGGCATTCGTGTACAGACAGGTCTGCCCTCAAGGAAGGTAGGAGCACATCATGGACATTTTCTGCCATCCAAGGAGGCTTCCATAAATGTAGAGCCGACACACTGGTCCTGCATACTGTCACAGGCTGTGTCCTCCAGAGATCAACAGGGAGCAGCCCAGGTCCGGGCTTTGATGGCCACACAAATAGACACATTTCATTTTGGCACTTTAGACACTTTAACGTTGTTACATTTGAAAACTCAGTGAGACAGTTCCCCTTTTTAGGACTCACAGTCTGCTGAGTGGGGCCCACAGTAACAGGCATATGAACCTTTCTGCATATTAGTAGGACAATTTTCGGTCGGACATTTGTGATTTTGTTTCTGAGCTATAGTACATGTATCAGACATGCACTTATGCCAAACCAGCACACTGACAGTGGCAGATTGTCGTGATGTACATCAACACTGTGTCGATGACGCTGAAGAACAGCAAGGGATGTCCACCACTCACATCAATCCATTGCCACTAGAAAGATGCACGATCTCAAAATTTTCACTTTAACTTTTTCTAGGTGCTTTGCCATAGATTCAGTCAGGCGTTGTTTAGCCTCTGCATTGCTAAAGCAAGTCTTTTTCTGACTTATAATATATATATAGTATGTGTAAGTGAAGAAAGGCCATAGCTTATCAGTTTTTTACTTTTTTCATTTTATTTATGCAGCATATCTTTTGTCCGCTCCTTCGCTGCTTGTCTTCAACTCTTCCTTGGGGGATAATTTTTTAACAAGAAATCCTATGTTCACTGCTTATGTTTACTATTTTTAATAAGATATGAGTCGTGGACTATCTATCTCATTGCAGTTTTTAAGGTACAAAACATGAGCTTTTCAGCTGAAATGCTATAGAAAGATTCTCAGAATACCACCAATGGGTGGTGAACTGATACATGACAAGGCAGATGTGGTCACGGCCCTTTGGGAACAAGCAAGGGAATCAGTAGAGAAATAAGATTATTATGGCCTGGAGAGAATGAGGCACCTGGATGTAACCAGAGGGTCTGGCCGGCTCACTACACTCAGAGGAAAGGTAAGATGGACATTTAATCAGATTGTGACCGGTACCATCAGTATTGGAACTCTGCGCTGGCTGCTGAAGATGAGGATGGAGCATGCATGGGAATGCCCCGAGTGCTGTGATATCAATTCTTGACTCAACTCAAATCAACTCAGAATACCACGTACAAAAAAAAAGGAAAGAAATACCGACATCTCAAAAGATTTGAATATCAAGGAAGATTGCTGGTAAACAGCATATTGTCTCAAAAACTGAAATATTTTGGCCATTTCAAGCGCCACAGCTTTTTTGGCAAAAATAATAACTGAAGACATGGTACCAGGAATAAGAGGAGGCAGGGGGCAGCATGAAGATGGACACAAGATATAAGTGACACCATGCATAGAAAAGTGCAAGATGTGGAAGAGCTGGCTAGAGACTGTGCTTCATTCAGGTGAACAGTGATGAGAGCACATTCTGCAAAGGACCTGCTACATATTGACGAATGAGATGTAGGATTGGTGGGGGGTCTGTAAGACTGAGGATTTAGGGCTGCACTGGTAATGCAATCGCCATCAGCTGTACAAGTAAGAATTTTTAGTTTACTTCTTCTTCTTCACTTCCTCTTTTACCGCTGTGGGTGTCGAGGGATTTAGTTTACTGACAATGTGAAACAGTCTCCCGAATGGCGGAGCCCAACATTCTAACCACTAAATAAAGAACTCCTTCGGAATCTTTGCCGTCTATTAAATTATACATAAAAAAGCCTTTACAAACCTCTGGACCCCTCTATGAGTTTCTTCCTCGCTGGCCCTGAGTAAGGGTCTGCTCTAAGCAGTTCTGAAGCTTCTAGCAGAGAGTTGGAGGATTCTTCGACCCGTTTCAGGGCTGGAGGCATGTCTTGCTTCAGAATCTGGTCATCACTGCTGTCAACTGTATCATAGCCAACCTGTATAAGATAAGGTCATTTCATAGAATGCAAACACTTAGATCAGGGCTATTCAACTGGTGACCCCGAGGTGCCAGATCTGACCTGTGGAGGTATAGCAAATGGCCAGCAGGTCATTGCCAGTTTTAATCTATTAATGATCTTTCTACGCCAAGGATCGGGCCTCTGGTAGAGATGATTCCCATTTTTAAAACTGTGGCCCCTAAGTAAACTTAGTTAAATAGCCCTGGCTTAGATGTTCACCTGCCAGCTCAGAGGTCTTCGGTTTCAATCCACACTGGGTGTGAATGTGTGGGGTTTTTTTTTGGAGGTGGTTTACAGGTTAACCTAGCCTAAAATGGGTACCAGGTAATTTCTTCGGAGGTAAAAGTGGCTAATGTAAAGCTGACCACATCATCCAATGAATATTAATTAGTAAAGTAAAAAGTAAAGATCCCTTTACACGCCCTTAGGCACATCTGGCATATGGGAAGAGCACCCATATTTACAGACCAGTCGGCACTAGGTGGGTAATGTGGTCAGCATTACGCCAGCCGTCTTTACTTTCCTAGGACAGCCCATCCTGGTACCCATTTGAGGCTGGGTCGACCTGCGACGTCCCATACTACGATAAAAATCCACGCAGCCCGCAGTGGGTTTCGATCGCGGTACGTTGGATTACGAGTCGGACTCGCAACGCCTTAGCCACGGACGCTGCCAATGAATATTAATTATCTATACAAAATATGAGTCTAGCTCTATATGCATGATGCTCCACTGGCATAGAGAAGCTCCTTTTCTCCCCTTTTTCACTGCAAAAAGTTAGAATAATGTAACTGTAACAACTAAATGTAACAGGAAATTCTCCTGTATTATGAGAACACCAAATAGAAGTAAAGAAAGGTAACTTAACCTACCACAGCCAGGCATTCTGTAAGAGACTAAAAAAATTAGAACTAGTGGGTGAGTACTGCTGAGCTGACAAGAAGAATGACTGAATAAACAGAGAAACTTGGGGAAAGAAATTACATGCAAGACAAGCAAGCTAATGTTTCAGCCAAAGTCACTAACAATTAACTAACATAACACAAACAGAAATCTACAGAAATTCCTGCAGTTGTTTGAAATTATCATTTCCATTATTCTGTCATGTTGATTACTGTGGAAATATTTTATTTAATTTCTGTAGTTCTTATTTCTCTTTGTGTTCAATAGCCGTAAACTCTGCTGGAAAGTTCCAGTTGTCTATCCACCTTTGGCCTTTAGCCTTATTCCAGAATCTAAATGTTGTGAACACATCTGTTTGGCTGATCTGACTTAACTGTATGCATACTGTTGGTTCCTTGCCTTTCTTGCAGATGCACTCCGACTTCAAAGGAAGCACCCAGTTAGTTGATTTGTATGCTTGTTGGGGAGGCAATGGATCTGTTCTTGTTCGCTCCCTTTACCCCTCCCCCACAATGTGGCCTATAGGCCCCTGGGCAAACCAGTGTGCTGGGGTCCCTACGACAACCAATACAGCAAGCCATCTGACTTACAGATTAGCACAGTGCATCAAGACGGCACTGGGCTCAGGAACCCACACAGCGTTGGTAAACATTCAATGCTCAGAAGAAGGGCAGAGCTTAAACATAATCACACTAGTGCTGACACTGTCAGTATCAAAACTTTGTGCTGGCTGTTGAAGATACATAACAAGGTAGATGTGGTTAAGGAGCACATGGACAACACGGAGGACCAACCAGATCAACAGGGTCTAGAAAACATGATGCAAACAGGGGTGATCTGAGGATATCACAGACATTAAATACTCACAGGAAAGATGAGGCAAACATATAATTAGAATATATTCATCCCAGTAATAATATTGGATCATTTAGATTGAAACTCTTTGCTGGCTGCTCAAGATGGGGATGAAGTGTTATAGGAATGCCCTGAGTGTTGTCATACTGGTCCTTAACTTGTAACTCTTAACACTATTTTAGGTGTCTCAGATAGATGACTTCTTCTTCTTTGCATTCACCAGCTGTAAACTCTGGCGGAAAGTTCTGGTTGTTCATCCACTTTTCGACTGCAGTCCTGTTCCAGAACTTTAGTGTCGCGTGTGCATCCATTTTACAGATCTGACTCATTTGTATGCAGACTGTTGGTTCCTTGCCTCTCAGGCAGATGCACTCTGACTTTGAAGAAAGCTCCCAATTGTTCAATTCTTACGACATGCTCTTGGGTAGGCAGTGGGTCTATTCTTGTTTTCCCTATATTAGGGACCCGGAAGCCACATAAGGATGACAGATGACTAAAAAGGCATAACAGAATATATGTTGATGATGGGTTAGACCTTCTGGGTATCCATGTACATGTTTTCAAAAAGGAATACAAAGAATGACTCGAGAGAAATATATGATCTAGGGCTTAAGATTCCACAATCATACAATAAAGAATCTAATCCTTGGTAAGAATTTCATCTGTTATAAGAATGAATATAAAACTTTAGAATAACGACACCTTTAGAGAACACATTAATTTACACACTCCTGTCGTAATTCAATCTAACTCTTTTTTTTTAAACAAAACAAATAAGCAGTTGTAATTGTTGAATTCTTCACAACCTGCCAGGGTGAAACCAACAATGGAACAAATGTCGCTTTTTATAGCTTTTATTTATTATTTTTATTTTTATTATTTACTATACCTTGACTGCCAGGTTGACCTAGCCTAAAAGGGGTACTAGAAAATGTCCTGGGAAGTAAAGTGGCCAACACAAATGCTGACTTGATTTTTAAAATTTAAAAAAAAAAAAAAAAAAAAGGTCTAGAACCATATAACCAATGCTAAAATGGTATAAAATGGATCCTTGACTTAAACTTTCATACAGGCTGAGTCCAGACTTGCTCACCTTGACCAGATTATCCACAGCCACTTTGACAACTCGGACAGACTGGTCTAAATCTGGCATTGCATTTCCATCCTCAGCTTCTTCATGAAGGATCACCAGCCTGGATACCTGCAACAGTAACAACAATGTCAACATGATTTAACATTTTTTTTTAAAATTCAACTCTAAGATACAAATTATGCCTTTTAATGCAACTTTATGTGGACTAGAAGCCACCGTGGTGTAGCGGATAGACACTCGCCTACGGATCTAAAGGTCATGAGTTCAGGTTGGATTTTTTCCAAAATAACCTTGGCTCCCAGGTTAACCCAGCCCTAAAAGAGTGCCAAGTAAAGACCTGGGAAGTAAAGATGGCCTGCACAGCGCTGACCACATCACCCGTTGAGTGCCTATAGGTCTATAATATATAGGTCTAGCCCTATATGCCCAATATGCCTTAAGTCCTGGACAAGGGTCTCTTACTTTATTTTGAACTTATATGGAATAATTCAGTTCTTCTTTTGTGTTCAATCTTAAAATTGTGATTGCTACATTATGTTGTGGTTTACAGCAGGCTGAGATATCTGAACCTTTAGGCCCAAAACATCAGATTTCAACAAACCTATAATTAGTTGCCTTTATGACATGCTTGTTAAGAGTGCAGTGGGACTACCCCCCCCCCCCCCCCCAGCCCCCCATTCCCACCCCGCTACTATAGAGCCATAGAAATTATGCCTGGAGACTAAGCCTTGATCCAGGTTCTATTCACAGTTGTGGTAATATAATATTGCTCCAACTAGTATGTTCTTAGACTTAAACCAGTCTCATAAAATGGTTGCTAAAAATAGTGATAAAAACCTCTGGTTGAAATGTTTGCTTGTTTTCTGTGTGGATCTCCTTTTGCCAATCTTCCTTGTTGATTTGTTTGTGCAGTTAATTTTTTAAACAAAAATTTATTTTTTGGGGCTGCATTAAAAAAAAAGCAGCAAGGAACATCAGCAAAATGATACACACACAGTAAGAAACATCTGATTGAACAGTTAGGTTGCTGGATCTTTATTAAGGTAGACTGTATGTGTTGGCACCTCTGTGGCAGCCTTATGCATTTGATGCATGTGCAGGCTGTTGGATTTTGCTGGAACTGCTGCCTTTTAGGGACTTTTCATTGTGTATGGTTTCAAAGGCACAGGAACAGAGCAATTATGGTGTGACTCAGTGATGTAGTTGGAACTCTAACTCATAGCCTCAAATCAGGGTTTGCATACTTGCTAGGATGTTTCTGTTGAAGGCATACACGAAATTCCTAACCTGCACAGTTCGTTGCAACTGTTTTGGTCATGTGCCCTAAATTTGCAACCTGAAAATTACCCCCCTCCATTCTAGATCACCCGTAAAAGTGGTATACAAATTTAGACTAAAAGTCACTTTTACACTAGATGTTTACTTTTAAAGTTATTTTAAAATTTCTAAAAATTATTCTAAATAAGCAATTTCTTCTTTTTTTTCTGACTATTCACTTGAATTGATTGGCTGACACTTGTGGTATACAGCTAGGCTTCAATAATTCAGCCCAAAATATAACATTTCAGCAAACTGGATATAATAAGTCGCATTTTTCAACAAACTGGTTAAATAAAGAGCAGTGGATCTTTCCACTGTCCCCTCAAAATGGGGTCCCACATCCTTCACAGTGACTTTGGCAGTTTGACAACACACTCTTTTAAAGTCAATATTTATGGTTAGAGGTTACAGTCAAGAGGATCGACTTTATTGCATCAGGTTTCATCCGATATGGCTCAGTCACTTTCCACAGAATGACCAGCCGACAGTGTCGCACAAAGCACAAACACCCTAGCTCCGCGCAGTGATCTCTCAGTGATCTCTGGAAAAATTGCACTCGTCAACCGATTGATGCAGCTATGAAACGAACCCATAACCTTCAAAACACGAGGCAAAGGGCTTGACCACTTCCCCACGGATACCACCTCGGTAATGTTGTTCAGATACCACACGGGTCAGTGTAGGCTTCTATCTGGATACCCTCAGTCTAGCAAATCAAGACAGTGTGTCTCTAAATCTACAACATCACAGGATCAGACCTTTCCTGCCTCTGGCTGCAAGAAGTCCAATGTTATGATTGCTTTCAGTGGGAGAATACTAACTGACTGAAAATCTTCTCCAGTTCAGACAAAATGAAAAATGTACGCTGTTATGCACGACTTATTTTCTACAACAATGACTAAATATTTAATGTGTCCCACTACTTAATTCTCCAGTCTTTGATTTTTGATTATTCCCTTTACTCTGCCTGCCTGCTTGTCTGTCTACCCCCCCCCCCCCCCCCCAATCGATTTAATTTTGTGACTAGAATTCCTCTCTCTCTCTCTCTCTCTCTCTCTCTCTCTCTCTCTCTCTCTCTCTGTGTGTGTGTGTGTGAGAGAGAGAGAGATAGACAGACACAGAGAGAGAGAGAAAACGCCCTTTAGAATGCACTCCCCCTCCCCCTTCTTCCAGCTCTATCTTCGATCCTTGCAATTATGTGGATACAAGTTTATGCTAGTGGACACTTTTAACCCTTAAAACAAGTTTCCATGCATAGGCATATCTTGCAGGAAATGTTTGTCAGTGCTCAAGAGGTGTGTAACTAGAAGTGTGTGTTTCAGGTCAGTAGCTGTAAGTAGCTAATGACTCACAACACATTAGATAGTCAAGGGAGAGAAGAGGTGGTAGGGGTTTGGAACACTTTGACCTTATGTGGCACTTTTATCATTAGTATACTAAGGCACTGATTCCCAAACTGTGTACAGGTGCACGGCGAAATATTGTAAAAGCTTCATAATTATTTTAACCTAAACACGAATAGTCATACTTTTACTTAGGTTAGGGCGCTGTGGACAAATTTTCAACTGAAAAAAGGCGCCGCAACCAAGAAAATTTTGAGAAACACTGTACTAAAGGGCAAATTATCAACAATAACAATTGTAGTGTTGTAGTCTATTATTGTTTAACTGCTGTGCTTTACTGTCTCTTCTGTACTGCAACACATATCTTCTAGTAATTATTCATAAATGTCCTTTTATCACTAAAATTAAATGTATGTGTTTATACCTGTGATGTGGTGTTGGTGGCAGTGGTAGTGGTGGTAATCCTGACAGTGGTGGTGGTGGTAATGACAGGGGTGGTAGTGTTAACAATGACAGTGGTGGTGGTATTAACAATGACATTGGTGGTATTAATGACAGGTGTAGTAGTGTTAACAAAGACAGTGGTGGTGGTGGAGGTAATGACAGAGGTGGTGGTGTTAACAATAACAGTGGTGGTGGTGGTAATGACAGGGGTGGTAGTGTTAACAATGACAGTGGTGGTGGTAATGACAGGGGTGGTAATTTTAACAATGACAATGGTGATGATGGTATTGACAGGGATGCTAGTGTTAACAAAGATAGTGGTGGTGGTGGAGGTAATGACAGGGGTGGTGGTGTTAACAAAGACAGTGGTGGTGGTGGTAATGACAGGGGTGGTGGTGTTAACAATGACAGTGGTGATGGTGGTAATGACAGGGGTGGTAGTGTTAACAATGACAGTGGTGGTGGTGGAGGCAATGACAGGGGTGGTAGTGTTAACAATGACAGTGGTGGTGGTAATGACAGGGGTGGTAGTGTTAACATTTACAGTGGTGGTGGTAATGACAAGGGTGGTAGTGTTAACAATGACAGTGGTGGTGGTAATGACAGGGGTGGTAGTGTTAACATTTACAGTGGTGGTGGTAATGACAAGGGTGGTAGTGTTAACAATGACAGTGGTGGTGGTTTTGGTGGTGTTACTAATGACAATGGTGGGTATAGTAATAGTGGTGGTGGTTATACAGTGGTATATAATACTATTGGTGATAGTTGTGTCAACAATTTCAGCAGTGGCAGCAATAAGAGAGGTGGTCGTCGTCTTTGCACGGTGGTGGAGATAAAAGGAGTGACAGTAATAATTACAGTGGCGGTAGCCATCTTTTTTAGACATATTTACAACAAATCTACATGCAAGTGCAAATCGTTAGTCAGTTTTAAACTGGACACTGCGAGAAGGCGAAGGAGGAGAAGGGGTAGGAGGAGGAAGAAGAAGAAGCAGAGAAGGAGAAAAAGGAGGAGGAGGAGATGAAGATGGGGGAGGAGGGGGCTTATACAGCCTGCTTGGTCGGAACGAAAAAACGGATATGCGCAAAACACTGTGCTAACCAACTGCAATGGGGGATATTTTCACCCAGTTTAGGATGGTTGGGGGGGGGGGAGGCCCAAAGCTGACCTAAAACACCGAGATAGTCCAGATACTTGGATTAAACGAGAATCTGGAGATAGGTGACTAACCACTAGTTATCACGGGAACCACGATGATGCGACCCAAGGTCGCCACGTGAAAAGTAAAGGACCACCACGTGTTGTCACGTGAAACGAACCCGTGGGATAAGTCAGACTTGACTCTGGTCAAGTTTAGTTTGTGTCGACCTGTTGGAGTGAGAGGACGTGCGACTGAAAGTGAGAATGTCAACGTGAGAGTGCTTGTGGAGAAAGGAGACCCTGCCGACGAAGTGTGAAGCCGAGATCGACCATGCCAGTTTGTGAGATGGCCAGAACCTCAACGTGAATCCATGGGAGCCAACTTTGGTCAGTGAATGCTCGAAGAAGACTGTTCGTTGAAGGCTGCGTGAGTTTGGGTACGAGAGCTGTTCACTAGGACACCGACAGGACATTCTTGTTTGTAAGTGTAAATACGTCAATAAATTCATGTCTCGTAAGCTCACATCGGTGTCGGCTTGTGCCAGTTGTGTAACGTGGAGCGTGTGAGAAGATCATCCACCACACACGCATGAACACTGCCTAGACAACGAGAAGAAACACACACCACTTATTACACCAACCATCATAAAGCAGCCTATTGTTTTTTGACCGATCCCATTACTTTAAAATAAAAATGACACATCTAACCTCGATCGACCCTAACCAAGTAAGTACATTATTTTTGGGAGGAGTTTATGTTTAGGCTGAACAACTCAGTGGTAACGAATGAGCCAACATATAGCTAGAGAACACGACCCAGCCTGGAAATTATATCAGATTTAAGATACTGCATGCAGTTAT